GGAATGTTGAAATTTAAGCGTGTTAGTAAATGCTGGCTATCTACATCCCCGTTAATAAGGTTATACAGAAAAACTACACCGAGCATTGTCCTACGATTTGTTAGCTAGGTAAGTTTATAAGTAAAAGTCTGCTACTGTAGGATGGAAGCTGAAGATTTGCATCCCAGTATAGACCTCTAAGTGCAAATATTAAAAAGTTGTTTTGTACGGATTCTATGCGGTCCTTATGTACTCCATATTGGGGACTCCAGACACATGAACCGTACTCTAGTGTAGGACGGACCAAGGAAATAAATAATGTTTTGGTTATATCGGGGTCATTAAATTCTTTTGACCACCTTTTGATAAAACCAAGGACTCCTTTAGCCTTATTAACCATTAAGGAAATATGGTCGGCCAATTTAAGTTTGATGTCTAATAGGATGCCGAGATCATTAACCTGGGTTAATTTTTCTAAGGCAATCCCATTAATGGAATACGTAGCTTGCAGAGGGCAAGAACGATAAAAAGACATATGCTTGCATTTTGATCCGTTATGTATTAGATCATTAGCTAAACACCATTCTTGAAAGTTATCAAGGTCAGACTGAAGACTGCATTGGGCAGAGATGGATTTGTACTGAAGACAAAGCTTTACATCATCTGCATACATAAGAACTAGAGAGTTCGAATAAGTAAGGGCTTATTCGAATAAGTCATTAATAAAAAGAGTACACAGTAACGGGTCCATGACCGGGACCGGGACCATGCTGACAGGGAGAGATAATCGAAGAGCATATGTGTTGCAAGGTAGGGGTAATTAATTTTTCAAATAACTTTGGAATTGCCGACAACTTAGAGATGCCTCTGTAATTGGCAGCCTCAGACTTTTTCCCTTTTTTATGTAGGGGAATAATGAATGATTCCTTCCACTTAAGGGGAAAAATCGAGGTTTCCAAAGATAAGTTGAAAAGTCTTTGAAGAGGTTTGCACAGAGCCCTGGTACAGTATTTTAGCACACAGCCTGGTACTCCATCGGGGCCTGGTGAATAAATGGGTTTGACCCTTAAAAGACCAGATAATAAGTTGTTCTCAGAGAAAAACGGACAGAAAATAAGATTTGCTGCTTGAATGTTATATGCGTAAGGCTGATCAGTCAATTTAGGAGGAGAATAAGTTGTTTGAAAAAATTCTGCGAATAGATCAATAGATCAATGGCCTGATCAGAGGTCGCAGAGGAATTTTCAAACGTAAGCAGGAGTAGTTATTTTTGAAGATAGAAATTTGGGACTTTTTTTTAGATTTTATATTATAATAAATTGGGTTATATTATCATATTCTTATAAGGATCGGCCAACTATATCCAATGTTTGCGATATATATCCGGTTTTAACTGCAAGGGTATATCAACTTCGGCTCCGCCCGAAGTTAGCTTTTCTTTCTTGTTATAAATGACTTGCCCCCTGCTTTAACGCACGCTCTAGTTCTTATGTATGCAAATTATGTAAAGCTTTGTCTTCAGTACAAATCCATCTCTGCCCAATGCTCTGTTCAGTCTGGCCTTGAAAACTTTCAAAAATGGTGTTTAGCTAATGATTTAATACTTAATGGATAAAAATGCAAACTTATGTCTTATTATCGTTCTTGCCCTCTCTAGGCTACGTATTTTCTCTATGATATTTCCTTAGAAAAAATTAACTCAGGTTAATGATCTTGGTATCGTATCAGACTCAAAACCCAAAATCTCCGACCATATTTCCACAACAGTTAGTAAGGCTAAAGGTGTCCTTCGTTTTAATAAAAGATAGTCTAAAGAATTAAACTAAATAACTGCTTCTAAATGACAGTCGACCATTTTTTTTTCTTGTGCTCTTATTGCGAGAACAACAAAGTTCGTACTCTCTTGTTTCGCTCTGAGCAAGATACTTTTGCTGTCTTCATTTTTTTTTTTTGTCTGTTGCGCGCTTTTCATTGAGCTCTTTTTATTTCGGTCGTTCGAGAACGAGAAACGCTCGCACAAAGAGAGTCAGCAAATGACCGATTGACCGAAAAACAAATAAAATAAAACCATTTGTTTAATAGAACAATTTAATTTTATTTTCAAATATTTTTGTTAACAAGATTCATTTAGATTCCATTTAAGGGGGGACATACATGAGTAGAGTTTTGAAAAAATCGAAATTTTTTTTTTCGTTTAAAAAATTCTTTGGGGTCTTAAAATAAAAGTGTCTAAGTGTCGATGTTTTTCATTCTGCGGCGATGTCTCACAGGTATATCCCACAGTACTTAAAAAATTTACCGCGTTTTTCTCGAAACCGTTTATTTTTTTAGACGGCAGGAAAGATAACTCGAACAACTCTTAACCTATCGATCTGAGATTTTGACAGTATATTCAAAATACCTTTTTCTATCGACACATGCAATTTTTTTTGTTTTGTATGTATTGTATTACTTTTTAATAACAATTTTGTGACGTTTTTTTTTTCGTAAAAATGGTAACTTTTTCACTCACCATTTTGAAAAAAATCAATATATCGCAAAAATCTTACGTGTGTCGATAGCTGTTGATGTATAGAAACTAACCTAACTTGATTTTTGTTCTACATCAAAAATTAAAGACGTTAGCTCTCCGTCCATGAATCCCCTTTTAAAAATTAGGGCCTATGAATAAATATTGTACTTTAAATATTATAATAAAGCCTCATTTACAAATTTTCGATTGAATTTTTCATTTGACCAAAAAAAATTCCACAAAATCCGCTTTTTTCGCCTGTTACTCAGATGTCTCCCTTTAAATTTGTGGAATGATTACCGGACAATTTAATACATTACAAATTGATTTATTCTCGTCCAAATGGAATTTAAAAAATTGGTGCATATTTTTATTCATTTCTCTTCCAATTTTACAACAATTATTTCGCAACTTAACACACTCAATTCACGATCGCAATTAAACGTTTAACGATTAGCTTGCCTATGCATATGTACTACTATATATATGTATATATGTGCTGGCAAGTCAGCACTCTAGCTCTTGCTTTAACGGTCGAGACTGGGTCACACCACACAGACGATCCATATGCTAGACAGGCACAACGAGACCATTATATATGGTGCAAACAGCCCTCTTGCTAAGGCCCCAATTATTTCGTAAAATACGGCGCAACTGGCCAACCACACCAAAGACAATAGGTCATAGGTCACACCTACTTTACAAAAGGAGAGAAAGAAAAAGTAAAGCTTTGCGGAGATTACAGGGTGAAATCTTGGTAGCTCGCTAAAGATGAAGCGATAAATGGAAAATATAAATAACGCCTGTACACATTTCATACAACGAAAATGGACTCAAAAATTTCTTGCGACAGGCCCCAGAGAACATCTCACTTTGTTGCTGTCCGCTCCCCTAAAAATCATCCATCGGTTTGCAGGAACCAGTATTTAAACAACTTAAGCACAGCTACAGCTTCATTTCATGTGATTTTGTTTCTGCTTCTGAAAAAAAACAGAAGTCGCAGTGAAAGCAAAAGCAGCAAACTATCGCCGGCGAAGAGCGAATCAGCAGCAGACGGCGTGTAAAAACTTTTGATATTGCTTTTCTGCTGCTAAGCAACGAAAGTCGAAAAGAGGGTGGAGAGTTAGGGCCTGCGGCGGGTGAAGCAATGCTAAACCCTTATCGTGCTGTTCAGGACAACATGAGACAGGCTAAAAACAGTTTTAAAGAGTTGATCACTGGTTTTCTCTAAATCAATGATTAACTCTGCGAGCTCTGCTAGTGACTCACCAAAGCGTAAAGAAACCTCTTTTATTGATCCACATCCTCAGAGCTACGCTAAGGGCTGGAACGCCATACAAATTTCTTAGTATAAAAGAGCAATTGTCCGATATATCCTCCGAGGCACAACTTCAAGTAACACCAATTGATACCTCCTTCGTTCGAACCGCCCAAATACTGGCATCTTTTATGTCCGATTGCGGCGCTGCATGACTTTAATATCCCAGAACTAAAGTGGTTTAATGTCAATATCTTACCATCATTATCACTTATCACGCACCATGACATGTCCCTAGATCGAATTAACTATTTTAGAAATTCGTTAGGTCGGATTTTAGACTTATGTTTCGTATCTGATCCTGATGATACCTTTTTTTTCCAAAGCTTTGCCCCTTTCAACCCCAGAGGACGGACCCCACGTTTCAATCAAAACCAATTCTTGTATTTTCTGTGTCCGATCGTGACTACCTGGTAGCAAAGATTATGCAATACATAAATGGGACACAAGGGCACAAAATGGGAAACTTTTTTCGTCGAGCTTGTTGGTGAGGGGGGAACGCACCTTTGTAAAGCTTTTATGCATGTACTGCTCGCACGAAGGCGTAAGTATTAAAGTAAACGCGAAAATGCATAGCAAAAACAGAGCTGAAGGGCAAAGATAGTAGAAGATATTTCTGATCTGTACTCTTTACTCTCACACTGGTTCGATGTAAGCGTTTCAAACTTTTATCGTTCCAAAGATGTTACGTTCTAAAAACAGAATTCTCTTTTTCCCTCACTCATCTGCCAGCATATAATAATTTCTGATGCGATGGATTTGGCTTTTTCTTTTTGTTTTTAGCTCGTTCTAGATTTATTTAGAACAGAGGTCGGCACGGCCCTATCTCGGGGGCATAGGAAATTTCTCTGCCCGAGCTCTGCCACACACACACAGTATAAATGTGTGAAACGTCATTCTACTTTCTGCTATTCGTTACTAACACTAATGCGGTAAAATCATATCAATGTATTGGGGTGCCGACCTCTGATTTAGAATAAAAGTTGTGTCAAAATACTTATATCAAACTTCGTATGTTATTTGGTTTTTGTAAAACAAAAATATTTTTGTAACTAAAATATCTGAATATCAAAGTCCTCTGCTAAAAGAGGGCTCCTAAGCATAATACACTTTTCCATGCATATTCTTAAAAAATTTCAAGTTTCGTTTTCTTTTTATTAAAGATAATGTGTCCATGTAATCTTTTTTCAGGTTTTTCTGTGAACATGGCCTGTAATTATTTAAAATTATCTACAGACGATACAAAAGGTGTTTTTCAATATGAAGTACACTTCTTTCCAAATATTGACACCCTTCATTTGAGAATGAAATACTTAAACGAACATAACGATAAATTGGGCGGCACAAAAACCTTTGATGGTCATACTTTATATCTACCGATATTATTACAAAATGAAATGACGGTTTTTTTTTCGAAAACGAAAGATTTTGATGTGGAGATAAGAATATTGTTCAAAAAAAAAGAAAATGTTAAGGATTGTGTGCACTTGTATAATATATTGTTTGACCGAATTATGAAAACATTAAAATATGTGCGATTTGACCGGAAGCACTTTGACCCATCACGGCCAAAAATAATTCCATTAGCTAAACTAGAGGTTTGGCCAGGATATGTTACTGCAGTTGATCAGTACGAAGGTGGTCTAATGTTATGCTGCGACGTCTCCCATCGAGTACTATGCCAACAAACTGTTTTGGATATGCTAATTGACATATACCAACAAAACGTAAGCCAGTACCAAGATTGTGTCAAAAAGACCTTGGTTGGAAATATTGTCCTGACAAGATACAACAATCGTACTTACAAAATAAATGATATTTGCTTTGATCAAAATCCAAAGTCCCATTTTGAATCCAAGTGTGGATCGATAAGTTATTTGGAATACTATAAACAATACCATAATATTTCCATTAAAGACGTTAATCAGCCTTTACTTCTTAGCATCAAAAAATCAAGAGAAAACCCCGAGGAAATAATCCAATTTTGCCTTATTCCTGAATTATGTTTTCTTACTGGACTTCGAGAAGATGTTCGCTCTGATAATAAACTTATGCGCGAAATTGCTACCTTTACAAGAGTGTCTCCAAATCATCGTCAGTTGGCTTTGCAGAAATTTTTCGAAAACGTAACAAAAACGCCTGAAGCACGAGATATACTTAAAAGTTGGGGACTTTCCCTTAATACAACATACGATTCTCTAAAAGGGCGACAAATGCCCTTAGAACAAATTTATTTTGCTAAAACGGAATTTTCAGCAGGAAAAAATGCTGAATTTTCCAAGCATGCGGTAAATAACGAAATGTTTAAAATTATTCACTTAAAGAAGTGGATATTAATTTATCTAAGAAATGATTCGAGAGCCGCAAATAACTTACTTGATAATATAAAACTGTGTTCTAAAACACTTGGAATGAATGTATCAAAACCCACTATGGTCTCAATAGATCACGATCGCATTGATTCGTATGTACAATCCTTACGTCGTAACATTACAACAGAAGATCAAATTGTAGTTTGCATTTGTCATAGCATTAGAGATGATCGTTATTCAGCAATAAAAAAAATCTGCTGTTCAGAAATTCCTATACCATCACAGGTAAGAAAACAAAATGCTTTTAACTGTATTCATTTTTATTATAAGTTTAAAAAATTAATAATAAAATAGACGGCTATAGTCGAGTTTCCCGACTATATTATACTTGGTACTTATCTCTTCTACCCACACTGTAACTAACCTGAGCAACACATTTTTTGTTGCATACTTTTGCTCTTGGCAAAAAAAAAAACAACCGAGGCCCCCTACGAATAAGAAGTATATGACTTTTCCGAAAATGGTCCGATTAGGCATTGGAATAGTTTGGCATAACATTTTCAAAAAACTTTTTTGAGGGAAACAAGATTTGGGGCTACAACGAGATTTCTGATTTGGGGGCGGGAGTGGGTGTGTCAAAATTCTGATACAAACTTGATCTGCGCGGATATCATACGATCACAAGATAAAAATCTGTTAGTTCTATCTCTTATAGTACTCAAAATTTACGCGTTCAAAATTGTATCCCGTTTGTATGGGAAAAGGTATATATAAGTAGGTATATCTTCTCAAAAAACCTTCCAAATTGGATTTTAATCTGGATTTTTTTTTTTTTTCTTGTAACAATATAGAAATTTACTAACAATAGAGATAGAGATTCGCATCAAAAGTTTTTCAAAAAAACTTTACTGGCGCTACAGAATTTTGCAATTAGTGGGGTCTGGAGGGGTCGTGTTTCAATTTTGAAACAAACTTGAACTGCAATGTACCTTTGTACTCCATGAGTACCGCGTATAAAAATATTTCCTCTGCAGAGAGATTATAGATGCTTAAAAAGTGTGTTGCCCAGTGAAGGAGACATCTCCCGCCCTATAAAGTTTACATATTTTTGATCAGGATCATCTCCAAAGTCAATATAAGCATATATTTCTCGCCGCCTGACTGTTTCTACGAAGCTGGTCTCTTAGTTTTAAAGCTATCGCATTCAATAATTGCACACATAAAAATACATACAGTATCATATAGTTTCGATAGTTTGTTGTGGTGAAGGAGTGATCGAAAATTAGCTCCGGAAGGCCCTGTCGTTGAAAATAACGACGAAATCGCTGAATTGGACGCGAGAGATCGGCATAGTAGCAGCAGTAGCATCTTTGACCTTATCGACGCATGCAGATCACTGCTGAATCGCAACAAAAGCGACCCGTTTCTCAAGCGGATCTCAAGGTTATTCTCTGATTTTGATGGGATTCCTATGCAGTACGCTCGAATCAAAGCTGTACTGCCAACAACTGGAGAGCTTAACGGCAGCAATCATGTAGAACAGGCCATATTTGATGAACAGAGTCCGAATGGTTTTCCATCAGGACAACGCCAGGCTACACACATCTTTGTTGACGCGCCAAAAGCTCCGTGAGCTTGGAGTGGAGGTTCTCACAATTAAAAAAAAATGTGCGTAGGTTTTTTCACGACTGTTTGTTTTGACAACAGATAAAACTTTTCTTTGTAAATTATTTTTACAAATTTGAGCTCAAAAAAAGATTACCGTACTATTCTTGTTTTCATTTAAAACACATTAGCTTAAATTTTTATATTTTTGTGTTGAGCTTAAATTTATTTTTAGGACAAACTAGACTCTCAGTTTTAAAGCTATCGACTTAAAACTTTGCACACAGTATATAAGTCGGAACGACCGAAATCGGCCGACTATATCCTATAACTTCCATATAACCAATTGATCGAAAATGATGTAACTTTGGTGTTTTTGAAGTAAGAAAGTTCGAATTTTACACGAAAAATTTTTTTGGCAAAATAATACGACATGCCAAATTTTATAAGAATCGGCCGACTATATCCTGCTATATAACTTTAAGATCGGAAATGACCCAACTTTCGTGAATTTGAAAATAAAAAGCTGGAACTTAGTAAAGATCCTATTTTTGGTCAGTTGATCCAACCAACCAAATTTCAGAACGATCGGTTGACTATATTTTAGAGCCATATAACTGAACAATCGGAAATGGTTTTTGGTAGAAATAGCAATTTTGGTATTTTTGTAGATAGAAGCTTGGGCTTTTTTTTAGGTTTTTTTTATTGTAATAACTTGGGTTATATTATCATATTCTCATAAGGATCGGCCAACTATATCCGATGTTTGCGATATATATTCGGTTTTAACTGCAAGGGTTTGTTTTTTATTGTTTCTTTATTTTCTTTATTGTTTTTTATATATTGAAAAACTCAATCTCAGGGCTCAAACTGAAAAACAGAAAACATTCAATGAGAATATGAGAACTATTCTTTCAAGGGGGGGGGGAGGATGTTTTTTCTTGTGTGAGCAGCAGAAATTGTATATTTGAAAATTTTCTCAGAAATTGGGTTGGAATAAGTTTTCTCCATAATAAATATAGATAGGGAAGCGTAGTTTTTCATTTGTTTAGAACTTTTGTTAAAAAAGCTTTCTTTATTCAATGGGCTATTCAAACTTTTGAATTCATGAAAAATGAAATAAAAAACTACGTTTGTTTCGCTCAGTGCTCAATGATCAATGATCTGCTCTTATTTTTTTTCCTGCTACACATACAGGGTAGGCCACGTAGCGGTCACTTTTTGAACTAATAGTTATTTCGAGAACGTCACCACATATGCCAGTCGCATATTGATAGTTGTTCAGTATATCAACTCCGCTTCACGAAATGGAACGCTTCTCGACCGAACAACGCTGGGAAATGGTAAAATTTTACTTCCAAAGTAACGAATTAGATTTGGACGAAAAATCATATTCTCGGTCGAGGCGCATTTCCATCCTGGCGGCTATGTTAATAAGCAAAACTGCCATATCTGGGGAACGGAAAACCCTCATTTCTGCATGCAGATGAAGCAGATATGTAGATCCGCTTATGGTGTGTGCAGAGAATCAAGTGAAGTACAGAGAGGGCGGCCCGACTAGTCATTACTAGACATTTGCGGAGCTAAAACTCTCTAAAGAAAGCTAGTGAATCGAGCGCCCGAGAGAGACTGCTTGCGATCAACTAAGCTACTTTAACATACTTAAGCCTAATAAATAAACACTACACTAAACATTACATTAACATTATTTAAACATCAACATTAAACGCCGTGCTGCTGCCTGATAATACCCTTGCAGTTAAAACCGGATATATATCGCAAGAATCGGATATAGTTGGCCGATCCTTATGAGAATATCATAATATAACCAATTCATTACAAAACCAAATCTAAAAAAAAGTCCCAAATTTCTATCTTCAAGAAAAAGAAAGGTCAGATTAACTGATCAAAAACATAATCTGTACTAAATTCCAGCTTTCTATCTTCAAAAACACGAAAGTTGGGTCATTTCCCATTTTTCAGTTATATGGCAGCTATAGGATATAGTCGACCGATCCCTATTAAATTTAATATGTCGTATTATTTTTCCAAAAGTAGCATTCATACTTTTAAAACTGTGAAAATTTGAACTCTCTAATCCGTGAATGTGAATGTGTGACACGCATATGTATATACAAAGATCAATCAAAGCTCAGACCAACCTTCTTCATCGCGCTCCTTTCAGTAGGGAAATATATGTCGGAAATATATCAAAATATCAATATATTTTCTCTTAAAAAAAAAAAAAAAAATTGTGCAATTTTTTTGGCACAAATAGTCGCTATTGATATTTTTTTAGTTGATATTTCCGATATTTTATGTTTGGTCACTCTTAGGTAAAAATAAGTTCGGCAAAAGAGTTTTACCCGGAGGTGAAAGCTACTTCAGCAAAATGCACATTGTAAAGTAATCAAAATTAACGGACACACCACAAATTTATTATCCCATCAAAAAATAAGCACCAACCGAACGAGTTTTTCTAAAATCGTTAAATAAAGATTTGTTTTCAAACAAAACCACAGAACGACAAAAAAAAATTGGAGGAACTTTTAAAGAGACCTAGTAGGAAATGTTTATTAGGGCGAATATAACACTAAACCGTGTTATATTTGTGGTTTATAGGCCACCTATTAAAGATATCTTTTCCTCCTTATTTCCCCATCAAATCTTGACTTGACAACTTTGACTTGGCTAAATATACGCTCTACTTCGGCGTTGGACCAAGGCAACGATAAAATATTAGTGGCAACGTGGGCCAAATCTGCAAATCTGTTGTTGCGTCCAGAATCCTTATAGGAATTGACTTAAATCAAAAATTTTTTTTGGATCCTTTAATCCAATCTACAAAATGAATTTTTTGGTATTGGCTTTCAATCTTCCCTATATTTTAGCAACTAAGGCCTTCCAATATTGGAATAATGTCCTTTTTGTTGTGGCGCAAAACATTGTTCACAGAAAAAATATCAATCTACTTCAATATCTTATAGTTTTCTGGAAGCCTTAAATTAAAAATAATATATTTGTTTTAATTATACGGTGTCAAATGAAGGCTAGTTACCTCTGCTTAAGTTGCTTAAGGATGTAGTCTCATGTTCCGGCCTTCTTTTTAGAGGTTATTTCAAAAAAAATTTTTTTGTAATAAAAAATAATGCGATCGTTCCAATTTTCACATATGTTTTTATAGGCACTATAAACTATTTGAAAATATTTTGTTTAATTTAATCTTATGTAGTTTAATACACTTTATAGCATGCCAAAATATGCATATAAAAAAAAGGTAGGTCCCTGGCGCAGGTGATTTCGACTGCTAGAGTCATCCGAAACAAAAAATTAGAACAGATTGTTGTTTTGTAAGCTTGTGGCTCTGTCCCGTACTAGAATGAAATATTTTCATCAATAAACAACAAAATGGCGAACTCACAAAAAAAAAAATTTTTTTAAATTTAAAAAATTTATCTTAAATTAATGATAAAAAAAAAACTAACCATTAAAAATAAATGATTCTAGTACGGGACAGAGGTGTTACTATTTAAAACAACATATCCAAATTTCAGCTAGATCGGTACCATAGAATTTTGTGAATCAGCTGCGCCGCACACAAAAATGTAGTTCCGAGAAAAACGCGTTTAAAGTTTGGACGCTACCGAGAAACTCATACTTTTCGGTATAGGCGCGCTCTCGATTATGGGCTGTATCTCTGTCATTATTTGATATTTTTATTTGAAACTTTAACAGTACATTCTTAATAAATAATACTATCGAAACATGTGAAAAAAAAATCGATTTTTTCAACCTCACACATGAGACTACATCCTTAATAAGCTCAACTAAAAATTTTGATTTTTTGAATTTCATTATCTTCATGTGTTTCTCAAACTCATATTCTTGCGCAAGATCATCGTGGACATATCTTTCGATATCCTCTGTCTCCAACAAATCTACATTTATTTCCGGTGGAACTATGCCCTTTTCCAATGATTGAATGGCCAACTTCAAATCATTTAATAATTCCGAGCCATTTGTGTTGCTGCTTTGAAAGCACTTATTTATTCTTTGCAACTCCGACAATATTTTTATACCTTTTTTATGCAGAGGGTATTATAATTTTGTCAAAAGTGTGCAACGCAGTGAAGGAGACATCTCCGACCCTATAAAGTATATATATTCTTGATCAGGATCACCTCCTGAGTTGATATGAGCATCCGTCCGTCCGTCTGTCTGTCTGTTTCTACGCGAACCAGTCTCTCAGTTTAAACTAAACTCTATTTTTTTTTTTTAGATTTTTGTAGCAAAATAATACGACATGCCAAATTTCATAAGGATCGGCCGACTATATAGCTGCCATATAACTGAAAGATAGGAAATGACCCAACTTTTTTTTTTTTTTTTTTTATTATCAATTAATCAATAGTTATATATAAAATCTGTCCGGAGTTATGGACAATAGTTACATTTTATAATGGGACCTTAACTTAATGAAATATTGAGTAGTACAATATTTGCTTATCCTAGGAAACTAATTTTAACAGTAAACCTTAGCGATATAATTCAAGTTATTTATTGTCGGGCCCTTTAGTGGGCCTTATTGGTTTTACAACTGCAGCTCAGTCCCGTTCGCCCGAGTGGCAGAGGTCCAGTGGGTGGGTCCGTTTCAGCCTCCTTGTGGTGTAGCTGTTGTCCAAAAGATTGATGGCCTCAGGGTTAGGATGTCGGTCCAGCCTTTCCACGTACCTATTGGCGAATCGCTGAACTTCTTCGCTCACATATGGGACTCTCAGTTGGACGTGGATTGTCCAAAGATTAAGATAGAAAGATGGAACTTTGTACAGATCCTATTGTTGGTCAGTTGATCCAACCTCCAGTTCAGAACGATCGGTCGACTATATCTTAGAGCCATATAACTGAACGATCGGAAATGTTTGCGATTTATATCCGGTTTTAACTGCAAGGGTATATTAACTTCGGCTCCGCCATATATGGATTGTAAGTCTGGAACCTTCAACACGGAGAACACCAATTACTTTTTGATATTTGGTTGGGGATGTAAATCTTCACCTCTTCCTACCACAGTCGAATCTTATTAATTAACCTACCTTCACTATCAAGCGGTGTGACGTTATCTTACACAACCTTATTAGGTAGTTATATACATAGCCAGAATCTACTAAGACGCCTTAGGATATTAGTGTATGATCCTTTTACCGTATTAAGTTCGGATTACATTGGTCTCTACCGCTTATCTGTCTCTTTCTTTGATTTCTGTGATATTTAATAAAACTACCAACTAGGAAATACTACAATTTTTTTTGACGAAATATAACCGATCCGAAAGATATCCTTCGACAATATTTGCGAACCTTTACGCCTCTCACAACCAAACAAGAAACTAGGTACAGATGTTAGGGAAGAGTGTACCAACATAACAAAACATAAAAATCGATAATCGAAAATTTGTTGCCCGCGATATTTGAAAAGTCACCTTACTTTTTCAACACACCTCGTATATGATTTTAAATTCATGGTCCGATCCGATCTTAACTAGAACTTCGACTCCTCCTGAAGTTAGCGTTCCTTTCTTGTGTCAATATTTTTTTGACTTAGTTGGTATTTTGTTATATGTCAAAATTAAAAGATTATGATCTGGCGCGATCTTGGGCAAAATATTGGACCGAAAGCTTGTTTTTATTGCTGTGACATTTATTTTCAAATTATAAAAAAATCGTCAAGGTATGTAAAATAAATTATTAAAATTAAATGTTTAAATTAAAATTAAATTATTAATTAATTGAATGTACATCTAGTCTATTGCCCTTTTATTTTTTTATTAATTATTTTTATGTCAATGGTAACAAACGGCTTTGTGATCCTTTGGAGTGTAACTATACAAATTTTTGTACCAATTGATGCAACATTAATGTTTCTTAGTACTGAAAAATTGTTCAATTTTATTACTCACTTTCAGATTATTAATGCAAAAACGCTTTTAAACGAATCCAAAAATCAGTCTATTGTACAAAAAATTCTTCTGCAAATGAATTGTAAAATGGGAGGCTCTTTGTGGACGATCAAAATACCATTTAAAAAAGTAATGATTTGCGGCATTGACACTTATCACGACCCTTCCAATAAAGGAAAATCCGTTTCAGGTAAGTAAAACGAGTTACAAAAAATAAACATTGAATTAAAAATTTGGATGGACCCGATCTTATCTTATAAATTTTGGTAATTAAATAATGCATAGGTAATATGAAATAAAAAGTTTCAAAATTTCACTTGAAACAAGTTTATATACCTGTCGGGTCAAGCAGCAGCACGGCGTTTAATGCTTATGTTTAAATAATGTTTAAATAATGTTTAAATAATGTTTAAATAATGTTTAAATAATGTTTATGTAATGTTTAGTGTAATTATTAGTGTAATGTTTATTTATTAGGCTTAAGTTTGTACAAAGGCTTTGTTGATCGCAAGCCGACTCTTTCTCGGCCGCTCGACTCAACAAGCTTTCCATAGAAAGTTTTAACTCGCAGTGTCTAGGTCGGGCCGCCCTCTCCATTATTCGAGAGCTTTAGCTTCGCAGTGACCAGTCGGGCCGCCCTCTCTGTACTTTTTCTTGAGTCCCTGCATGCACCATAGCCGGTCTATCTGCGGATCATCCGGCTTGATCTGCATGCAGAAATAAACATTTTTATAACGTCATATTAAATACAAATTCTTTTATTTACGGCATTGAAAACGCTCAATGACCAAACAATACCCTTGCCATTGAGTGTAATTTTACAGTGTAAGGTATTTCTTGGAACAAATATCTGGAATATAACGGATCGCATATATACACTGCCGCTCACTTGAATAGCTCACCCAAAACATTCATATTAAAGCTGCAATAACTCACAAAATAAAATAGCACATTCTACAGGAACTTCATATTCTGATGATTTTTTCGGAAGAATTAATTATATTTAAAATGTAATTAATGAATAGAAGCTTTCTTGACATGTTTTCTTAAAATTAGTAATGAGTGGATCCACCACGATTATGGATGACATCAAATATCCTTCTGGGTAAAGAGTCGTACAAACTCTTAATGTAGTCCAGGGAAATTGTTGACCAGGCCGCTTGGATAGCATTAATGAGATCATTCTTATCATATTGCTTTCCGGACTCACAGACTTTCCTTTCTAACCATCCCCAAACATTTTCGATTATATTTAGGTCGGGCGAATAAAGCTCCTGGAAATCATGGCTATTCAATTCAGGAACCCGGGATGGAATTATGTATCTTCTATAAAGTGGATAGACACAGATTCAATTCCTGTGCTCGAGGGCGATGGCTCGATTCGGGTCTTCCTCAATGCTACGCTCTACAGCATCTTCTGTTCGCACTGTCCGGCGTCTGAGGAGATAAAAGTTATCAATAAAAACAAGAAAGGAAAGCTATCTTCGGGCAGAGCCGAAGTTTATATACCCTTGCAGTTAAAACCGGATATATATGGCAAAAATCTGATGTAGTTGGCCGAACATTACAAGAATATTATAATATAACAAATCTATTACAATCAAAAAAAAAAAATCCAAGCTTCTATCTTCAAAAATACAAAAGTTGGTATTTTTACAAAATACCATTTCCGATTAAGTTCCGTTATATGGCACCTATATCCTTCAGTTATCCTTCTATAGGATATAGTCGGCCGATCGTTATGAAATTTATAGGGCCAGAGATGTCTCCTTCACTGTGTTGCACACTTTTGGTAGGTGGGATCTCCTCACCAAAAATAGAATCTGTACCAATTTCCATTTTTCTATCTTCAAAAACACGAAAGTTGGGTCGTTCAGTTATATGGCAGCTATGGGATATAGTCGGCCGATCCTTATGCAATTTTGCATGTATTAATTTGCCAAAAATAGCTGTGGTGTATAATTTGAACTCTCTAACTCTAAAAACACAAAAGTTATACCATTTCCGATCAATCAGTTATATGGCAGCTATAGGATATAGTCGGCCGATCCCGGTCGTTCCGACTTATACTGCGTGCAACAAGTTCCGACTGCGTGCAAAAGAAAGAAGGGTGTGTGCAAAGTTTCAAGTCGATAGCTTTAAAACTGAAAGACTAGTTTGCGTAGATACAGACAGACCGTCGGTCAGACGGACTGTAAGGAGTCGGTAAGGCGTACGCCAGACTTGTTCTTTCCTCTCTTCTTTGCAAGGCTACCTGCCGTGGTCGGGAATGGCCCAACTCGACTCTGATACCCTAAGCTTGAAGAGGAACCGTCCTGCAACGGATCCTTATCTCACTCCCATTTTACGTTCTCCTTTCTTTATCGGTGACCCTACATCTTGGCACTTATAGTGTTGGCACTACATATTGGCACATAAATTATAGTACCGCTCCTGGTCCTGGGCTGCTCGCTCCATGTTCCTCCGCACTATTTGAAGGACTTCTTTCAGCTTCGTCGCGTTCTCCATTAAGGTGCCTTGTTCAGCTCCCGTGCCACAACCTCGAAAATTAATTCAGTGAGATAGAATGCTGAGACGAAAATTAATGAATGAGTGAATGTGACTGTGTAGGTCTCACTCGTACAACATTCGGGGGATGAAAACCGAATTGAATGAGTTAGAGTTACAGTTCGCATTCGAATTGTTTCGAATTCATTCTAGAATGTACGATACAACTATGCAGATTTGCGTGTTTTTTTAGACGCTGATAATAAAATAATTCAAAAGTGAATTAAGTCTTTAATTTTTTTTCCAGAAATATTCATTATTATGCTGTACATTTTATTTTACATATTTTACTTGTATAAATGTAAAAATATTTTCAATATTTATTAATAAGTAATTTTCCAGCACAATTTTGCCGCTAAAAAAAATTTGCAAAATAATTTAATTTGGAAAAACTAAACAATAAACACTAAAAAAATAATAATAACAGTTAAAAACCAAAGTAAAAAAACACTCTATCATAATTCACCTTTCGGTCAATTCCCTCATTATTAAAGAAGTATTTAAGAAGCGTTTTGCGCAACAGAAGAAAATAAATGAATGCATAGAGTGTGTTAAAAACCATTCGAGACATTCGGCTGCATTCCTCATTCCAAAAGCACTCTTTTTACTTTCCACCCCAACTCATTCTGTTTCAAAGCAAGAGAATGCCTATGAGTTAAAATGCTCTCTCACTCCCTCTCATTCAATTCGTTGTGTCTCTTGCACTCATTCATTCTATTCCATTCGGATGTATTCTATGGCTGAGGCAATAAGAATGTTTTCCTGCAGACCTCTACTACAAAGTCTGCACACACTGTTTCCTATAGCTGTTCCGGGACCTGCGTCAACATCTTTCCTGCCGCTTGCATCTGGCACGGCTTGTATTTCAGGCACGTCTTCCACCTCCTGACATATTTCCGTCCCATATGTCCCTCTGCATCCCAGGCCAGAAGTATCTAGCGGCCACTTGGGTGATTGTTTTCCTTACGCCTATGTGTCCTGCTGCCTCGTCTCCGTCGGCACGCACAGTTTCCAAGATGCCACTTCCTCGCTTCCTTCTATATGAGGGATGTGGTTCGTCTTCATCGTGTTCTTCAGCGCGCTTATCCACAAGCATTTTTATACCCTTGCAGAGGGTATTATAATTTTGGTCAAAAGTGTGCAACGCAGTGAAGGAGACATCTCCGACCCTATAAAGTATATATATTCTTGATCAGGATCACCTCCTGAGTTGATATGAGCATGTCCGTCTGTCCGTCTGTCTGTCCGTCTGTCTGTCCGTCTGTCTGTTTCTACGCGAACTAGTCTCTCAGTTTTATAGCTATCGTCTTGAAACTTTGCACACACCCTTCTTTCCTTTGCACGCAGTATATAAGTCGGAACGGCCCGGATCGGCCGACTATATCCTATAGCTGCCATATAACTGATTGATCGGAAATTGTATAACTTTGACGTTTTTAAAGTTACAGAGTTCAAATTTGACATGAGTGCTATTTTTGGCAAAACATTACGACATGCCAAATTTCGTAAGGATCGGCCGACTATATCCTATAGCTGTCATATAACTGAACGATCGGAAATGACCCAACTTTCGTGTTGTTAAAGATAGAAAGCTGGAACTTGGTACAGACTATATTCTTGGTCAGTTAATCCGATCTACCAAATTTCATAACGATCGGCCGACTATATCTTATAGCTGCCATATAACTGAACGATCGGAAATGGTTTTTGGTAGAAATACCACTTTTGGTGTTTTTGAAGATAGAAGCTTGAGACTTTTTTTAGATTTTGTATTGTAATAAATTGGATTATATATTCATATTTCCATAAGGATCGGCCAACTATATCCGATGTTTGCGATATATATCCGGTTTAAACTGCAAGGGTATATAAACTTCGGCTCCGCCCGAAGTTAGCTTTCCTTTCTTGTTTGATTTCAATTTCAGTTTCTTTAATGCTGGCTGGCGGGAAAGCGCGTCGGCGACCACGTTGAGCTTACCCTTCTATTAGCTGATGACGTAGTCATACTGATGAAGCTCAAACACCAACCTCGCTATTCTCCTAAGCGTGCTCTCTATGTTGTTGAGCGACTTTAGCCTCATATGGTCCGTGATCACGTCGAACTGGAAGCCAGGTAGGGTCTCATTCTGCTCGCCCATACTATAGGCGATCACTCGCCGTCCGACAACGTCCGACTGGCATAGGCGATCACTCGCTACCCTCCTCGGTGTCCTGGGTGATGACCGCAACGACGCCGTAGTCGCTGGCGTCCGTTTGCAGCACAAATCTTCTTTCAAAATCTGGGCACGCCAGTACTAAATCCTCTGCCAGCCGCGACTTCAATGTCTCAAACGCCTCCTGTTGCTTGGGTGTCCATTCCCATTTCGTGGCCGATCGTTCAGGGGCTTCGTGATTTCTGCGTGATGGCATCCCGATAAACCGGCGTACTCCCTTGACGTTTGTCGGGGGATGTACATAGCTCTGTAACTGCGGTGACCTTTCCAGGATCCATGCCGATCCCCTGACTCGTTATTCGGTGTCCCAAGTATAGCAGCTCCTGCCTGAAGAAATTACACTTTTCCGCATTTATCCGCAGGTTCGCCGCCTTCAACCTCCTTAACACCTCGTTTGGGTTTTCAATATTTTCCTCCTTGGTGCGTCCAA